ACACAGGAGAGAGAGCTACTGCATATACACCAGGGGTTCGGCTGCAACTATACACTAATGCTGCACGCAGGAGAGAGAGTTACTGCATATACACCAGGGGTTCTGCTGCGACTATACACTAATGCTGCACACAGGAGAGAGAGTTACTGCATATACACCAGGGGTTCTGCTGCAACTATACACTAATGCTGCACACAGGAGAGAGAGTTACTGCATATACACCAGGGGTTCTGCTGCGACTATACACTAATGCTGCACACAGGAGAGAGAGTTACTGCATATACACCAGGGGTTCTGCTGCGACTATACACTAATGCTGCACACAGGAGAGAGAGTTACTGCATATACACCAGGGGTTCTGCTGCAACTATACACTAATGCTGCACACAGGAGAGAGAGTTACTGCATATACACCAGGGGTTCTGCTGTGACTATACACTAATGCTGCACACAGGAGAGAGAGTTACTGCATATACACCAGGGGTTCTGCTGCGACTACATTAATGCTGCACACAGGAGAGAGAGTTACTGCATATACACCAGGGGTTCTGCTGTGACTATACACTAATGCTGCACACAGGAGAGAGAGTTACTGCATATACACCAGGGGTTCTGCTGCGACTATACACTAATGCTGCACACAGGAGAGAGAGTTACTGCATATACACCAGGGGTTCTGCTGCGACTATACACTAATGCTGCACACAGGAGAGAGAGTTACTGCATATACACCAGGGGTTCTGCTGCGACTATACATTAATGCTGCACACAGGAGAGAGAGTTACTGCATATACACCAGGGGTTCTGCTGCGACTATACACTAATGCTGCACACAGGAGAGAGAGCTACTGCATATACACCAGGGGTTCTGCTGCGACTATACACTACTGCTGCACACTGGAGAGAGAGTTACTGCATATACACCAGGGGTTCTGCTGCAACTATACACTATTGCTGCACACAGGAGAGAGAGTTACTGCATATACACCAGGGGTTCTGCTGTGACTATACACTAATGCTGAACACAGGAGAGAGAGTTACTGCATATACACCAGGGGTTCTGCTGCGACTATACACTAATGCTGCACACTGGAGAGAGAGTTACTGCGTATACACCAGGGGTTCTGCTGCGACTATACACTAATGCTGCACACTGGAGAGAGAGTTACTGCATATACACCAGGGGTTCTGCTGCAACTATACACTAATGCTGCACACAGGAGAGAGAGTTACTGCATATACACCAGGGGTTCTGCTGCGACTATACACTAATGCTGCACACAGGAGAGAGAGTTACTGCATATACACCAGGGGTTCTGCTGCAACTATACACTAATGCTGCACACAGGAGAGAGAGTTACTGCATATACACCAGGGGTTCTGCTGCAACTATACACTAATGCTGCACACAGGAGAGAGAGTTACTGCATAGACACCAGGGGTTCTGCTGTGACTATACACTAATGCTGCACACAGGAGAGAGAGTTACTGCATATACACCAGGGGTTCTGCTGCAACTATACACTAATGCTGCACACAGGAGAGAGAGTTACTGCATATACACCAGGGGTTCTGCTGCGACTATACACTAATGCTGCACACAGGAGAGAGAGTTACTGCATATACACCAGGGGTTCTGCTGCGACTATACATTAATGCTGCACACAGGAGAGAGAGTTACTGCATATACACCAGGGGTTCTGCTGCGACTATACACTAATGCTGCACACAGGAGAGAGAGCTACTGCATATACACCAGGGGTTCTGCTGCAACTATACACTAATGCTGCACGCAGGAGAGAGAGCTACTGCATATACACCAGGGGTTCTGCTGCGACTATACACTAATGCTGCACACAGGAGAGAGAGTTACTGCATATACACCAGGGGTTCTGCTGCGACTATACACTAATGCTGCACACAGGAGAGAGAGTTACTGCATATACACCAGGGGTTCTGCTGCAACTATTCACTAATGCTGCACACAGGAGAGAGAGTTACTGCATATACACCAGGGGTTCTGCTGTGACTATACACTAATGCTGCACACAGGAGAGAGAGTTACTGCATATACACCAGGGGTTCTGCTGCGACTATACATTAATGCTGCACACAGGAGAGAGAGTTACTGCATATACACCAGGGGTTCTGCTGTGACTATACACTAATGCTGCACACAGGAGAGAGAGTTACTGCATATACACCAGGGGTTCTGCTGTGACTATACACTAATGCTGAACACAGGAGAGAGAGTTACTGCAAATACACCAGGGGTTCTGCTGCGACTATACACTAATGCTGCACACAGGAGAGAGAGTTACTGCATATACACCAGGGGTTCTGCTGTGACTATACACTAATGCTGCACACAGGAGAGAGAGTTACTGCATATACACCAGGGGTTCTGCTGTGACTATACACTAATGCTGCACAGAGGAGAGAGAGTTACTGCATATACACCAGGGGTTCTGCTGTGACTATACACTAATGCTGAACACAGGAGAGAGAGTTACTGCAAATACACCAGGGGTTCTGCTGCGACTATACACTAATGCTGCACACAGGAGAGAGAGTTACTGCATATACACCAGGGGTTCTGCTGCGACTATACACTAATGCTGCACACAGGAGAGAGAGTTACTGCATATACACCAGGGGTTCTGCTGTGACTATACATTAATGCTGCACACAGGAGAGAGAGTTACTGCATATACACCAGGGGTTCTGCTGCAACTATACACTAATGCTGCACACAGGAGAGAGAGTTACTGCATATACACCAGGGGTTCTGCTGTGACTATACACTAATGCTGCACACAGGAGAGAGAGTTACTGCATATACACCAGGGGTTCTGCTGCGACTATACACTAATGCTGCACACAGGAGAGAGAGTTACTGCATATACACCAGGGGTTCTGCTGCAACTATACACTAATGCTGCACACAGGAGAGAGAGTTACTGCATATACACCAGGGGTTCTGCTGCGACTATACACTAATGCTGCACACTGGAGAGAGAGTTACTGCATATACACCAGGGGTTCTGCTGCGACTATACACTAATGCTACACACAGGAGAGAGAGTTACTGCATATACACCAGGGGTTCTGCTGCAACTATACACTAATGCTGCACACAGGAGAGAGAGTTACTGCATATACACCAGGGGTTCTGCTGCGACTATACACTAATGCTGCACACAGGAGAGAGAGTTACTGCATATACACCAGGGGTTCTGCTGCGACTATACACTAATGCTGCACACTGGAGAGAGTGATGGATGGATAGATGGATGGATGGATGAATGGATGGATGGATGGATGGATGGATGGATAGATAGATTACACATATGAACGAAATTCCAAACCACTGGCTCATAAAAATATAATAAAAATGCTACAACGTGCATTAAAATATAGCACTAAAAACAAAGAATTTGAAAGCGGCATATAAATAATGATATTGCACATGGTAATTGGCGGCATATAAATCCAATTTTTTGCACTTTCTAAGTGGTGGCAGATAAATACAGATATTCCAGAATATGAATAAATATTGTTATTGCAAGGTTAGGTTCGTTTATTACCGCATAAACCATGTGTCTCTGCTGCAACAATACTTTTGAAGCACTAACTCGTTTACTCGTGTGCATGTATGTATTCGTGAGAAAAAAAAATGCATGAAAATGTTTTCACACAGAAATATTGATGCGTAAATATTTTCACAGTTTTTTTCAAGAGGATCAAATTTAGAACCGACAGAAACCACATGCATGTGAAAATAACTCATGCAGGGTGTAAGAGCTTTTATCTAAATTATTATTATATAAGATACTACATGACTAAGTGTATATCTTGTGTATCTCAAAAAGATTCTGCATTAAAATGCAGTCAATCAAGTGAAGTCTAGGCCTCTATTAAAGTGTGTGTTTGTTTTGTGCACACTTGGCTTTACTGGAGTCATGTGCAACACCCTTATATGGAGATAATGGGCGTGTGTTATGCTAATTAGGACCTGCTGACACGCCCCCTCATTAAGAATGGACCCTTTTCACATTTTCAGTTCCATAGTGGTGAACAGAAACTACAACAAATATATTAAACTGTGCTAGATTTATGATGTTAAAGTGATAATTCACCCAAAAATGAAAATTATGTCATAAAAAAAAAAATAGTGCTGGGCAACGATTAATCTCATCCAAAATAAAAGTTTGTGTTTACATACTATACGTGCGTGTACTGTGTATAGTTTTTTTTGTATATATTAATATACACACATGCATGTATATATTTAAGACAAATGTGTTAATATATAAAACATTTTTATGTATAAATTATTTATAAATATTTCTTAAATATATACATGCATGTGTGTATTTATATATACAAAATAAATATACACAGCACACAAACTTTTATTTTGGATGTGATTAATCGCAATAAAAAAAAAAAACTATGGAAGCCCCATCAACTTCTTTTGTGTTCAGCAGAAGAAAGAAACTCATACAAGTTTGGAACAACTTGAGTGAGTAAATGATGACAGAATTACATTTTTTTAGATAACAATCTGAGAAAAGGGTTCATTCTCTAGGCTTAATCTACATTAGAACGAGGATAACAACAAATGTAGGTACGAACGCCACATTACAGGTGAAACTCGAAAAATTTGAATATCGTGCAAAAGTTCATTTATTTCAGTAATTCAATTTAAAAGGTGAAACTAATTATATCGACTCATTACATGCAAAGTGAGATATTTCAAGCCTTTATTTGTTATAATTGTGATGATTTTGATTTTGAATTTGGGGTTTTCATAAGCTGTAAGCCATAATCATCACAATTATAACAAATAAAGGCTTGAAATATATCACTTTGCATGTAATGAGTCTATATAATTAGTTTCACCTTTTAAGTTGAATTACTGAAATAAATGCACTTTTGCACGATATTCTAATTTTTCGAGTTTCACCTGTATTAGCGAATGTGTTTTGAGTTCTTACTTGTCGAGAGTGACCTGGTCTTGTTTGGCCCATGCGAATTTCCCATTGACAACCGTCACGGCATATTCTGGAGAGAGAGAGAGCGTGAGTCAGCTGAAGTGCGAGTCCAGTCACGATGAACAGAGATTTCACAATGACTCAGCATGAATACGAGCGCAGAAACATAAACCCGTTCTCGTCAAGTGAAGCTTGTGTTCGCTTGTAAAGCTACCGGAAGCGTTGTTTCTTCTGTCCACATTCTCTGGATCCAGTTCATCGTGACTCAGGAAATCCTGGATGCGCTTCAGAGACACGCTGGCCTGACGGAAGATTACAAAACCATGAGTGGAGAAGTGGGACAGGTCTACTCCACTAAACATCTCATTCCAGGAATATTTCACAATCCTTCAAACAATCAGAACTGAACATGCATGAATCTGCCACATAGACCTTCTAAAACTAGGTCAGTTCTGAATATATAACACACACACACACAAACACACATATATATACTGTGTATATATATATATATACATATATGTTATATATTCTGACCTAGTTTTAGAAACACTTGCTTTTTCAAAGGCAAAATAATTGTCTGCCATCATCGTTATCTGTGAAATAAAGCTGTTTATTGCTATATTATTATCTGTGTAATAAAGCTGTTTATTGCTATATTATTATCTGTGAAATAAAGCTGTTATTGCTATATTATTATCTGTGAAATAAAGCTGTTTATTGCTATATTATTATCTGTGAAATTAAGCTGTTTATTGCTATATTATAATCTGTGAAAAAAAGCTGTTTATTGCTATATTATTATCTGTGTAATAAAGCTGTTTATTGCTATATTATTATCTGTGTAATAAAGCTGTTTATTGCTATATTATTATCTGTGTAATAAAGCTGTTTATTGCTATATTATTATCTGTGTAATAAAGCTGTTTATTGCTATATTATTATCTGTGTAATAAAGCTGTTTATTGCTATATTATTATCTGTGAAATAAAGCTCTTTATTGCTATATTATTATCTGTGTAATAAAGCTGTTTATTGCTATATTATTATCTGTGTAATAAAGCTGTTTATTGCTATATTATTATCTGTGTAATAAAGCTGTTTATTGCTATATTATTATCTGTGAAATAAAGCTATTAAAGCTATATTTACCGGTATTTATATTTTTTATATTACAAAACCTTTCTATTAAAATATATATATTATATATATATATATATATATATATATATATATATATATATATATTATATAAATATATAAACACATGCATACATATATATTTTTATTTAACAAAATAGAAAGGTTTTGTAATGTTATACACTACCGTTCAAAGGTTTATGGTTAGTAAGATTTTTTTATTTTTTTAAATACTTTTATTCAGCAAAGACACATTAAATTGATCAAAAGTGACAGTAAAGACATTTATAATGTTACAAAAGATTCTATTTCAAATAAATGCTGTTCTTTTCAACTTTCCATTAATCAAAGAATCCTGAAAAATAAAATGTATCTCGGTTTCCACAAAAATATGAAGTGCTTTCAACACTGATAATAATCATAAATGTTTCTTGAGCATGAAATCATCATATTAGCGTGCGTTCACACCGCCAACGACGCCGTGGAAAGATTCGTGGACGCTTGTAGATCGAATGCTTGGTCTTTTTTAAGCATGTCGATCGTTATGTTAGACCATAGGGTACAAGTTAACCTCATGGAATCTTTTAAATGTGAAAGTAACAATTATAGTGACATATTTGCTAACAAAATAAACCAATTAAAAGCCATTTGTGTGGTGTGGCGTTTGTGTTCATGGCTAAGTGCTATTCTAATTTGCATTCCCGCTGAAAAACAAGCGTTCTAGCGCGAAAATCTTGCCTATAAATAGTGTTGTGCGCCTTCTTATCAAATTCAGATGATCATCCTCTCCTCTATTTTGCTTGGGAACTAATGAGGTCGGAACCAAAGTTTACACTGCGTTCCCTGGACTCCTCTCGAACGGAGCACTTCTACAATCCGATTGGTCGCCGCCGAACCGTGTCATCGCTCATTACCATAAAGTTGACCTGACTTCCTCGCCGCTCTGTGAACGCACGGTTAGAGTGATTTCTGAAGGATCATGTGACACTGAAGACTGGAGTAATGATGCTGAAAATTCAGCTTTGATCACAGGAATAAATTACACTTTACTATATATTCACATTGAAAAAATATATTTTACATTACAATAATATTTACTTTTTTTTACTTTATTTTACTGTGCTTTGGATCAAATAAATTCAGCCTTGGTGAGCAAAAGAGACTCTTTCATAAACATTCAAAAATCTTTAGAACGGTAATGTTTATATATCATTCTTAATGGTAATTGACAGCTCTAAAGTTGTATTTAATCAGGAATATCTCTAATATTGAGAAGTGTGATGAAGTGAAAGCTCACTTGTACGATGCTGCTGATGACTTGTGGAAGCATGTTCAACGGGAATCTCAAGATGTTAAACAGAGACAAGGACACGAAGGCCTTCTCCGCATCCAAGACGTTTTTTTCATCCACTGTCACATAGACGGCAAACGTGGTCAAGGCCACCTGAAGGACATCAAGAGCACAAGCACACACTCATTACAGGTTCAAATTTAGATTTCAGCAACAAAAACATGTTTTTTCACTTGCACTTTTGAGCATTAGTCATGTTGCCTACACACGTCATGACTAATGCACTTTTGAAACATGAGCCGGCAACTTGACGCCTAGATAAGGATCTACAGCATAGCAAAGATAAACATTTTGCATTTTCCTCACACTCTAAAACATATTGGGTTATTTTTTATACCCAAATCCTGGGTTGAGCCTTTGGGTAGTTTTTGTCTAGCTCAGATCCTGGGTCAGACGTAACAACCCAGTGTTTGAGTGGTTTTTGTGTAACCCAGATCTTAGGTCAGACGTAACAACCCAGTGTTTCAGTAGTTTTTGTGTAACCCAGATCCTGGGTCAGACGTAACAACCCAGTGTTTGAGTGGTTTTTGTGTAACCCAGATCTTAGGTCAGACGTAACAACCCAGTGTTTCAGTAGTTTTTGTGTAACCCAGATTCTGGGTCAGACGTAACAACCCAGTGTTTGGGTAGTTTTTGTGTAACCCAGACCCTGGGTCAGGCGTAACAACCCAGTGTTTGGGTAGTTTTTGTGTTACCCAGCTCCTGGGTCAGACGTAACAACCCAGTGTTTGAGTAGTTTTTGTGTAACCCAGATCCTGGGTCAGACGTAACAACCCAGTGTTTGGGTAGTTTTTGTGTAACCCAGATCTTAGGTCAGACGTAACAACCCAGTGTTTGGGTAGCTTTTGTGTTACCCAGCTCCTGGTTCAGACGTAACAACCCAGTGTTTGGGTAGTTTTTGTATTACCCAGATCCTGGATCAGGCGTAACAACCCAGTGTTTGGGTAGTTTTTGTGTTACCCAGCTCCTGGGTCAGACGTAACAACCCAGTGTTTGAGTAGTTTTTGTGTAACGCAGATCCTGGGTCAGACGTAACAACCCAGTGTTTGGGTAGCTTTTGTGTTACCTAGATCCTGGGTCAGACGTAACAACCCAGTGTTTGGGTAGTTTTTGTGTTACCTAGATTCTGGGTCAGACGTAACAACCCAGTGTTTGGGTAGTTTTTGTGTAACCCAGACCCTGGGTCAGGCGTAACAACCCAGTGTTTGGGTAGTTTTTGTGTTACCCAGCTCCTGGGTCAGACGTAACAACCCAGTGTTTGAGTAGTTTTTGTGTTACCCAGATCCTGGGTCAGGCGTAACAACCCAGTGTTTGGGTAGCTTTTGTGTTACCCAGCTCCTGGTTCAGACGTAACAACCCAGTGTTTGAGTAGTTTTTGTGTAACCCAGATCTTAGGTCAGACGTAACAACCCAGTGTTTGGGTAGCTTTTGTGTTACCCAGCTCCTGGTTCAGACGTAACAACCCAGTGTTTGGGTAGTTTTTGTGTTACCCAGCTCCTGGGTCAGATGTAACAACCCAGTGTTTGGGTAGTTTTTGTGTTACCCAGATCCTGGGTCAGGCGTAACAACCCAGTGTTTGGGTAGTTTTTGTGTTACCCAGCTCCTGGGTCAGACGTAACAACCCAGTGTTTGAGTAGTTTTTGTGTAACCCAGATCTTAGGTCAGACGTAACAACCCAGTGTTTGGGTAGCTTTTGTGTTACCCAGCTCCTGGTTCAGACGTAACAACCCAGTGTTTGAGTAGTTTTTGTGTTACCCAGATCCTGGGTCAGGCGTAACAACCCAGTGTTTGGGTAGTTTTTGTGTTACCCAGCTCCTGGGTCAGACGTAACAACCCAGTGTTTGGGTAGTTTTTGTGTTACCCAGATCCTGGGTCAGGCGTAACAACCCAGTGTTTGGGTAGTTTTTGTGTTACCCAGCTCCTGGGTCAGACGTAACAACCCAGTGTTTGAGTAGTTTTTGTGTAACCCAGATCTTAGGTCAGGCGTAACAACCCAGTGTTTGAGTAGTTTTTGTGTAACCCAGATCTTAGATCAGGCGTAACAACCCAGTGTTTGAGTAGTTTTTGTGTAACCCAGATCTTAGATCAGGCGTAACAACCCAGTGTTTGGGTAGCTTTTGTGTTACCCAGCTCCTGGTTCAGACGTAACAACCCAGTGTTTGGGTAGTTTTTGTATTACCCAGATCCTGGATCAGGCGTAACAACCCAGTGTTTGGGTAGTTTTTGTGTTACCCAGCTCCTGGGTCAGACGTAACAACCCAGTGTTTGAGTAGTTTTTGTGTAACGCAGATCCTGGGTCAGACGTAACAACCCAGTGTTTGGGTAGCTTTTGTGTTACCTAGATCCTGGGTCAGACGTAACAACCCAGTGTTTGGGTAGTTTTTGTGTTACCTAGATTCTGGGTCAGACGTAACAACCCAGTGTTTGGGTAGTTTTTGTGTAACCCAGACCCTGGGTCAGGCGTAACAACCCAGTGTTTGGGTAGTTTTTGTGTTACCCAGCTCCTGGGTCAGACGTAACAACCCAGTGTTTGAGTAGTTTTTGTGTAACCCAGATCCTGGGTCAGACGTAACAACCCAGTGTTTGGGTAGTTTTTGTGTAACCCAGATCTTAGGTCAGACGTAACAACCCAGTGTTTGGGTAGCTTTTGTGTTACCCAGCTCCTGGTTCAGACGTAACAACCCAGTGTTTGGGTAGTTTTTGTATTACCCAGATCCTGGATCAGGCGTAACAACCCAGTGTTTGGGTAGTTTTTGTGTTACCCAGCTCCTGGGTCAGACGTAACAACCCAGTGTTTGAGTAGTTTTTGTGTAACGCAGATCCTGGGTCAGACGTAACAACCCAGTGTTTGGGTAGCTTTTGTGTTACCTAGATCCTGGGTCAGACGTAACAACCCAGTGTTTGGGTAGTTTTTGTGTTACCTAGATCCTGGGTCAGACGTAACAACCCAGTGTTTGAGTAGTTTTTGTGTTACCCAGCTCCTGGTTCAGACGTAACAACCCAGTGTTTGGGTAGTTTTTGTGTTACCTAGATCCTGGGTCAGACGTAACAACCCAGTGTTTGGGTAGTTTTTGTGTTACCCAGCTCCTGGTTCAGACGTAACAACCCAGTGTTTGGGTAGTTTTTGTGTTACCCAGCTCCTGGGTCAGACGTAACAACCCAGTGTTTGAGTAGTTTTTGTGTTACCCAGATCCTGGGTCAGGCGTAACAACCCAGTGTTTGGGTAGTTTTTGTGTTACCCAGCTCCTGGGTCAGACGTAACAACCCAGTGTTTGGGTAGTTTTTGTGTAACCCAGATCTTAGGTCAGACGTAACAACCCAGTGTTTGGGTAGCTTTTGTGTTACCCAGATCCTGGGTCAGACGTAACAACCCAGTGTTTGAGTAGTTTTTGTGTAACCCAGATCTTAGGTCAGACGTAACAACCCAGTGTTTGGGTAGCTTTTGTGTTACCCAGATCCTGGGTCAGGCGTAACAACCCAGTGTTTGGGTAGTTTTTGTGTTACCCAGCTCCTGGGTCAGATGTAACAACCCAGTGTTTGGGTAGTTTTTGTGTTACCCAGATCCTGGGTCAGGCGTAACAACCCAGTGTTTGGGTAGTTTTTGTGTTACCCAGCTCCTGGGTCAGACGTAACAACCCAGTGTTTGAGTAGTTTTTGTGTAACCCAGATCTTAGGTCAGTCGTAACAACCCAGTGTTTGGGTAGCTTTTGTGTTACCCAGCTCCTGGTTCAGACGTAACAACCCAGTGTTTGAGTAGTTTTTGTGTTACCCAGATCCTGGGTCAGGCGTAACAACCCAGTGTTTGGGTAGCTTTTGTGTTACCCAGCTCCTGGTTCAGACGTAACAACCCAGTGTTTGAGTAGTTTTTGTGTAACCCAGATCTTAGGTCAGACGTAACAACCCAGTGTTTGGGTAGCTTTTGTGTTACCCAGCTCCTGGTTCAGACGTAACAACCCAGTGTTTGGGTAGTTTTTGTGTTACCCAGCTCCTGGGTCAGATGTAACAACCCAGTGTTTGGGTAGTTTTTGTGTTACCCAGATCCTGGGTCAGGCGTAACAACCCAGTGTTTGGGTAGTTTTTGTGTTACCCAGCTCCTGGGTCAGACGTAACAACCCAGTGTTTGAGTAGTTTTTGTGTAACCCAGATCTTAGGTCAGACGTAACAACCCAGTGTTTGGGTAGCTTTTGTGTTACCCAGCTCCTGGTTCAGACGTAACAACCCAGTGTTTGAGTATTTTTTGTGTTACCCAGATCCTGGGTCAGGCGTAACAACCCAGTGTTTGGGTAGTTTTTGTGTTACCCAGCTCCTGGGTCAGACGTAACAACCCAGTGTTTGGGTAGTTTTTGTGTTACCCAGATCCTGGGTCAGGCGTAACAACCCAGTGTTTGGGTAGTTTTTGTGTTACCCAGCTCCTGGGTCAGACGTAACAACCCAGTGTTTGAGTAGTTTTTGTGTAACCCAGATCTTAGGTCAGGCGTAACAACCCAGTGTTTGAGTAGTTTTTGTGTAACCCAGATCTTAGATCAGGCGTAACAACCCAGTGTTTGAGTAGTTTTTGTGTAACCCAGATCTTAGGTCAGGTGAAACAACCCAGTGTTTGGGTAGTTTTTGTGTAACCCAGATCCTGGGTCAGACATAACAACCCAGTGTTTGGGTAGTTTTTGTGTAACCCAGATCCTGGGTCAGACATAACAACCCAGTGTTTGGGTAGTTTTTGTGTTCTGGGATCTGGGATCTTTGGTCAGACGTAACAACCCAGGGGTTGAGTTATTTATCGCAGACTTTTTGCGACCTCTTCAGGAGAGAGCAGTGCAGCTCCGTCAAAAAGGTGTGTCTTCGGCAAAATGCAGGTTTGAGTACATTTTATTTTATCAATAAATTCGTTATTGTTCTGTATATCGTTTAATTTTATGCAAAGCAACATACAGGGACGCGATGTGAGTCACCTAAACGAGTGTCGCGAGTCTCGAGAATACAATATGTATTAAAAATTATATAAAAAATATACTATACTGTAAAATATGATTGAAAATAAAGGAATTATCATGCAAGCTAGTGGTTCTATCGAGTATTTTTTTTAAGTTTAGAGGATTTCATTTAATCCGTAGACATTAATTCATGTATGAAGTAAAATAAATAAATAAATAAAAGTATTATAGTAAAAAGAATCAGCTATCCTGGGTTAAATCAACCCAGTATGATGGGTTAAAATTTGCTGGGTAAAATTAACCCAACATGTGTTCTGTCCTATATTTACGCAGCCCTTTGGTCGAAAACAACCCAAATTGTTTTTTTTGTTTTTTAACCCGGTGTTTTTTAGAGTGCACACACACACACACACACGGGATAGAGGAGTGTTACCATGAAAGGCGCGCTGGTCCAGGCCATGGTGGACAGAGCGCTGAGGTAGGCCGTCTTCTTCAGCACGTTCAGCTCCTTCTGTCGGATGGCCAGGATCTTCTCCTTGAAGGAGGTTTCCCAGGCGTAGAGCTTCAACACCTTGATGCCGTTGAGGATCTCGTTCATCAGCTTGATGCGGTCGTCCTTGTGTTTCATCTGCTCCACCTGTGCACAGCATCACTCACACGCTCTTATTGCTTTCAGGGACACGTTTTCATTTAAATTAAAGTTTTAGTAATTTTGTGGTGCAGCTTTGTCATATTTTTTATGTTTATGCAGATTTTATTATTATTTTTATTTCAGTTTTAGTTTAGTTTCAGTACATCAAGTTCAAATAAATGAAAATGATACATAAACTATTATTTTAATGTCATTGAGACATTATTATAGCTTTTAGTATTATTTTGAATTAGTTTTCATTTTTCATTTCAGTTAGTTTTAGTCATTTTGCTGTGCATTTGTTCTCATTTTTATTAAGTTTCTTTCTGTTTTTAATGTCTATATAGATTTTGTCCATTTTAATTCAGTTTTAGCTTTTTTTACATTTTGAATTTGTTTTTATTTTTATATTTTAATTTTAATTTCAGATAAAGTTTTAGAAATTTTGCTCTGTATGTTTTTTGTCTATATAGATTTTGATAATTTTTATTTCAGTTAAAGTTTTTATCCATATTTATTTTCATTTTCATTTCAGTTAAGTTTTAGTAACTTTGTTGTGCTTTTTGACATTTTTATTAGCTTTTTTGTCTATATGGATTTTATTTATTTTTCATTCACTTTTATTTTTTTGTACAAGTTAAAATAAACGAAAATGAGAAATGTTGCAGTGAATTAATTTCTTTTTCTTTTTCTTAAAGTTTTAGTAATTTTGTTGTGCATTTTTGTCATTCTTAGTTTTTATTCAGTTTCATATGTCTATATAGATTTTATTCATTTTCATATCAGTTTTAGTTTTTGTTAATATTTTAAATTTATATATTTTTTGTTTACTTTTTTATGTAAGTTAATGTTTTTAAAGTAATTTTGTTGTGCATTTTTTTCAGTTTAATTTAAGTTATTTTAGTACATAAATAAATAAAAAATGAAAATGAGAAATGTTGCCTTGGCAACTATAGCTTAAATAAAATAAAATGTTTTTCATATTTTCTTTTTTACAATTTATTCTATTTCAAGCAATGGAATGTTTTCTTTGTATTCAATGACATTCGTGCTCTGTCTCTTTAAGAGGAAATGAAACTTCACAAAGAATGTGAGTGACTGATAAGCTTGAGCTTTGAAAACCAGGGCAGAAGAAGATATATTGATAAGAAGCAGAACTGAAGGCCGTTGTGTGAACAGACCGACCCAGTTTTTTATTTTATATGAACATTAAGTGAAGATTAATGTAAACGTTACGGGAACGTTACTCCTGAACAGGACAGCTGACCTGGTAAGTTCTGGTCTTCATGGCGATGAAAGCGTTGAATGGGATCAGCAGAACCATCACGGCCACACCAGCCAACACCGACGGACCCAGGTTCTGGAGAAACACATCAATCAGAACCAATCGCTCACGTCTACTTTTCCGTCAGAGATACAACAGCTAACATCACTGCGACACGAAACCACTGTCATTTCAGAAGGATCGAGATACTGTTCGTTTTTTGATTTTAATAAAATATTTTATGCTTTCACTTTGATTTTAGTCAAAGATTTTGTAATTTCGTGGGTTTTTTTTTGCCATTTACCAATCAGGTCAACGTGTGATCGTCAACCAGTGGATCTCTGAGCTGGTGTGAGTGAGTGGAGGCGGGGCTCATTTGCATATTCATAGAACTGCGTATACTAAATGAGGCAAGGGTGTCGAGTTACATTCAAGCTTTTTCAAGTAAAAAACACTTAAATATGTCCTTTTGGTGATCAAAGATGAGTTTTAAGGGATACAATTATTGATAATTTCAGCAATTTTCATCACATTTAATAAACGTTAGACTAACATCCAACTGAAACGCTTCAGAAAATCACTCCATGAACAATGAATGAACCGCATTTCTGTTTAAAGACCAGATAATCTAATCTCTGATCTAACGTTCATTTAACGTTACTGAAAGAATGTTTGTCCATAACTTTGAGAGAACCTTCTGTTCCTTTTTAGATTTTATTAAATCTGTTTTTTATTTTTATTTTTATTTTAGTCAAAAAATTTGTAGTTTTTTTGCCATTTTTGAATGAGAAAAAATGAGAAATGTGGCCCTCGCAACTAGCTGAAAATATTTTATTTAATTTCAGTTATTGTATTCATTTTGTTTTGTCTTTCAGCCATTTTTAAAAATATATATTTTCTTTACTCATTCAAACACATCTTTTGACAGATATGATTGACCTGAAGAATGAAAGCTGTATCATATACTTGGAAATATATGAGCAATATCACGATCATAGCCATACCAAATGACTCCTGCAGAGTTAATTTTGCGTGAAAAGATTGTATTTGTGTTTTTTCATATTATTCATATATATATGCAGGTGAAACTCGAAAAATTAGAATATTGTGCAAAAGTTCATTTATTTCAGTAATTCAACTTAAAAAGTGAAACTAATATATTCTATAGACTCATTACATGCAAAGTGAGATATTTCAAGCCTTTATTAGTTATAATTTTGATGATTATGGCTTGCAGTTTCAGCTTCAAAATTAGAATATTGTGAAAAGGTTTTCATAAGCTGTAAGCCATAATCATCACAATTATAACAAATAAAGGTTTGAAATATCTCACTTTGCATGTAATGAGTCTATATAATATATTAGTTTCACCTTTTAAGTTGAATTACTGAAATAAATGAACTTTTGCACCATATTCTAATTTTTCGAGTTTCACCTGTATGTGTTGACTTTCAATAATTCAAGCATTTTACATTTACTTTGTTATTTACTTCTTCATAAATATGTCTGTTTTCAAGGGTTTTCCAGGACTTCTATTTAAAAACAATCAAATTCAAGCGCTTTATGCACCTTGTACGAATAATTAACATGTCATTGGTTGAACTGGAAAATTGACCATGTTTTTCTGAACGCCAGGTTTCATGCTCTCGGAAGCCAATAATAATTCAGCAGTTTGATTGGACGCACAGCCTTTAATGTAAAAAAAGAAAGAAAAAGCCTCCCTTTTAAAGGCCTAACGGAAATTTATTTTACATGATTATATGCCTCGAAGCATTTTAGATTTGCATTTAGAATTTCATAGAGAAACATTGTGTATGAAGATGGTTATCCGTTTAACAAAAATAGCAAGGGGAAGTGTTTAGATGTATGCAAATGCGTAAAAGCTTCACCTGCCACAGGAAGAAGAGCGCCAGGATGATCTGCAGCGGCGCCGACCACAGCATGTTGAGGAAGGTGGTGAGATCCATGAAGCGCTGAGCGTCCACAGACATCAGATTGACCACCTCACCCACCGTAGACGAGCGCTTGGCTGCGTTAGTGATCACTAGTGACTGCGGAGACCGACGAAAACATGTCAAATGTGCTTCCACAATCCAACATACACTGTAGAAATCATTCTTTTCATTGTCACAATACAACAACAACTAGATTTGATGCATCAGTAACTAAATTTAAGGTTTAAAATGTTCAGTGACAAGTAATAACATTTCTGTCATTGAATCACAAATGACTGAGTCATTGAATCATTCACTCAACTCTTTTGGGTTATTTGAACGTTAAAGTCCCCCTGTGTTGAAAATCCAGCGTTTAATGTTGTTTATGTGTCTATGTGGTGTTTTTAATGCGCTTTAAGACACACCATGTGTAAGTTCATAAGTCGACAGCATTGCTGAGTATTTCCTCCTTAAAACTGCAGTGAACCAAAGACTATGGGATGATTTTAGTATCAAAATGATTAACACGTGCAAGCACACTTATCAATGAACTTGATACATGTTGCAGAAATGTTTTATCCATGCCTTTCAACTTGTGTGTGCAAAATTCAAAATTGAATGAATGTGAAGCAATTTGTACAAATAGAGACATTTTTGTGAATACAAATGTTTTCCTTTGTATTAGTGTATCATAATTTGCACATGCAACACAGAAGACGTGCATGTGTGGATCAGGTGACGCGCGTGCATTCATTGACTCGATTCATTGAGTCGATCCTATTTGATTCATTTGGATTTTGAGACTTTCATTTCGCGGGTTTCGCCTTGCACGATCCACACACAGCTGTCTGAGAAAAGCTGCTACCACTAGATGGCAGTATTCTGCTAAAACAGACAACGGCAGCATAATCAAGCGTTCTTCCGCATTTAAGACGCTTAATGAGAGTGATATTGAAGCACCAAATTTAGTACACAATAATATAGGCCTACCCTATTAATAAAGCATACTTTATAGAGGCGAACATTACGTCAGATTATGAACAACACCCATAGAAAACCATTATAAAACGCTTAACGTGCAATCGCGCGTTGCATGTTCAGTAAGGTGTATTGGCTACTGAGTTTAAATATCACCGTCTTACTGCATTGACGTTAAGCTTTTTCTTTATAATATGCTCTATGGGAGGAAAACTATATAGCCTACAGACAAGAGACTACATGAACGCAACGCACGGCGTTTCAAGTTAATACAATTTTCCTTCCTGTTAAAAAAAGGTGAAATTTCGCAGTTGCGTTCATATTATATGCTTATTTTTATCTGACTACACATTGTGTACATAGTATACAAGCAGGAATTTGAAAATGTCTGTTTTTAAATATTAAAGACGATTTTCGCAGTAGGCTACATTTGTTTTCCCTTGACCCTTAAGCCATAGGCTATAGTCTTACTATAGCACGATGAGTTTTAACAATATGCAACCATTGTATATCGACATGAAATATTAATTGAAAATCAACTGGCGTAGCGGGCCTGTAGCTGCATATTTCTACACGAGAATGCTTTGACGCGCTAACCACAGCTCATGATGCACAAGGGAACGTCTGCCAATTCCACTAACTGCGTTAAAACCACTGATCTATAATGTCATTCTATATAGATCAGTGGTTAAAACGTATAATTTGTTTTAATTCAAATTACTTTTTAAATTTAATAACAGACATTTTCAAATTCCAAAGCTCGTAGAAGGTTTCTGTAAGACTGACTTACAAGTAAAATTTGGACAATACTTCCCTTCATGTAGCCTGTATTCTGCAGAAAAATACTGTAATTCACCAAAAGGGTTTTTTCATGTTCAAAATGGTTGTAGTATGTTCAGTGACTAGACTGGCTTACTACAGGTGAAATTGCCCCAATAACTCCCTTCATGTAGCCTATTTAGTAAACAATTATTATTTTATAAAAAAATTACTGTAATTAACCAAACGGGTTTTTGGTGACTTACTACAAGTGAATAATGTAAAATTTCACCTGACTTGTCACTAGGAACGTACTACAACCTTTGGAACATGAATAGAAAAACAATTTACAGTAAATTAAAAAAATTGTAGGCTACTGTTCAATCGAGATATTGGCTGGACATAGTACAGTAACAGTAGGCTAAGTCAGTCTGCCCACTAGACTTCCAAGGTTATAATATAACCTTGGAAATATGTTCATTTGAATGAATGACTGGACGTTTATATTTTTTTGACTGTGAGTGGAGTTTGCAGATGGTCCCTTTATAAAATGAGGCGAATATCAAACTTCACTGCACTCTCGGACCGGTTGCTCTCCCATTCACATGCAAAGTTAAACGCAACTGCAGAATTTTTATTTCATGTTAAGCTTTTTCTTTTTAACAGGCTCGGGAAGGAAAATGTTATTAACTTGAAACGCCGTGCGTTGCGTTCATGTAGTCTCTTGTCTGTAGGCTATATAGTTTTCCTCCCATAGAGCATATTATAAAGAAAAAGCTTAACGTCAATGCAGTAAGACGGTGATATTTAAACTCAGTAGCCAATACACCTTACTGAACATGCAACGCGCGATTGCACGTTAAGCGTTTTATAATGGTTTTCTATGGGTGTTGTTCATAATCTGACGTAATGTTCGCCTCTATAAAGTATGCTTTATTAATAGGGTAGGCCTATATTATTGTGTACTAAATTTGGTGCTTCAATATCACTCTCATTAAGCGTCTTAAATGCGGAAGAACGCTTGATTATGCTGCCGTTGTCTGTTTTTGCAGAATACTGCCATCTAGTGGTAGCAGCTTTTCTCAGACAGCTGTGTGTGGATCGTGCAAGGCGAAACCCGCGAATTGAAAGTCTCAAAATCCAAATGAATCAAATAGGATCGACTCAGAATCGAGTCAATGAATGCACGCGCGTCACCTGATCCACACATGCACGTCTTCTGTGTTGCATGTGCAAATTATGATACACTAATACAAAGGAAAACATTTGTATTCACAAAAATGTCTCTATTTGTACAAATTGCTTCACATTCATTCAATTTTGAATTTTGCTCACGCAAGTTGAAAGGCATGGATAAAACATTTCTGCAACATGTATCAAGTTCATTGATAAGTGTGCTTGCACGTGTTAATCATTTTGATACTATAATCATCCCATAAAAGACAGTCTCAAAAACACGGTTTGAAATCGCTGGTGTTTCTGACGTCACAAACGACCTTGTAACCAATCAGATCAACGTGTGATCGTCAACCAGTGGATCTCTGAGCTGAGGGAGTGAGTGGAGGCGGGGCTCATTTGCATATTCATAGAACCGCGCATACTAAATGAGGCAAGGGTGTCGAGTTACATTCAAGATATTTTAAGGCATGAAGAAAAAAATTTGAAGAAAAAACTATTAAATGTCATTTTGGTGATCAAAGATGATTTTAAGGGATAAAATGATTGAATACAGGGAGACTTTAAAATAAAGATTCCATTTCATCACTTTGTAAACATTACAGGAACGTTACATTTGAATGTTCTCTGAACATTCCAAAAAAAGTAGTACATTTAAAAAACGTTAGACTAACATCCAACTAAAACGCTTCAGAAAAACGTTCAATTAACATTACTGAAAGAATGCGAGTACGTTCCCTTACATTACATGCTACATGAACACTGTGTATATCAGAGTAGTGACGCCTGCTGATGCATTAACACGTTCATTTAATTGATTAGTTATGAAAAAAATAACAAGATTTAAATTATGCCTATAGAATGCAGATAGAATTACCCTAAAATTCAAGATATCAGGGCAAAAATGCGACTGTATGAGTTTGTGTGGCATATTTATATCACTTGTGTCATACACCGATCGGTCTGCGCTTGGGGTGGTAATACAGGAGAAACTCGAAAAATTAGAATATCATGCAAAAGTTCATTTATTTCAGTAATTCAACTTAAAAGGTGAAACTAATATATTATATAGACTCATTACATGCAAAGTGAGATATTTCAAGCCTTTATTTGTTATAATTGTGATGATTATGGCTTATGGATTATGAAAACACCAAATTCAAAATTAGAATATTGTTAGAAAAGGTTTTCATAAGCTGTAAGCCATAATCATCAACATTATAACACATAAAGGCTTGAAATATCTCACTATATCTCACTCACTGATTTTGCACGATATTCTAATTTTTCCAGTTTCACCTTTCGCCTGCTGATGCATTTCAAAGCTTATTCTAATCTACTGCAATATCCCATGACAAAGCACATTATTTGCTTTTTCAATTCAAGGAATATTGCTGGCGACAGACAGACGTACTTAAATATGCAACACCCACGAGTGAAGCTCATGTAAGTATAAAGCAGCTCTAGGTAAAAGTGCACAGATGTGTGTGAACAAGCCGTCACGCCTAACACACCTCCGGCAACTGAAGCCCCTGTGCTATACTTTTAGAGCAGTAGAGCAGAGGCCACACGGCAGGGCTATCACCAAATCACTGTGTGTCTGCAACTGGGAGACTCGAACTTCTATAAACACAATGTCATGCTGGCGTCATGCTTGCATTTTAAATTAAACGCAGTTGTGCATATCTTTAAGAAGGTTTAATGTTAATATTGTAAATGTAACTCTTGTTTCTGCCAGTCAGTTTCTAACCCTTAAAGTGCAAGTTACTGTTAGGTGAAACTCGAAAAGATTCGAATATGGTGCTAAAGTTAATTTATTTCAGTAATTCAACTTAAAAGGTGAAACTAATATATTATATAGACTCATTACATACAAAGTGAGATATTTCAAGACTTAATTGTGATGATTATGGCTTACAGATATGAAAACCTTTTCACAATATTCAAATTTTGAATTTGGGGTTTTCATAAGCTGTAAGCCATAATCATCAAAATTAAAACAAATAATGGCTTGAAATATCTCACTTTGCATGTAATGAGTCTATATAATATATTAGTTTCACCTTTTAAGTCTTTTCAACGCACTTCCCTGACATACCGTACTGCATTTATCATAATAAACGGACAAACCTGTAATAGTACACCATGGAAAGGTAACTTGAGTTTTGAAAGCTGCAGTTTCTAGTACTATGAATGGTCAAAATAAAGTGCTTCCTCATTATTTAACCCCCTAAAACTAGTTTGAAAGCTTAGTTCGCCCTTCTGTCATTATTTACTCATGTCAATCCGAACCTATATTTGCATGTGCAGAAGTATAATGCATTTCTTTCTTTTGCCTAACACAAAACAAGGAGCCCATTGTGTGGACAAAAAACACTGAGACGTTTGAGATATTGTGTTACAGAAGAAAGAAATGCAAAGAAAACCGGCTTACAGGGAGCGTTCTGTTCTGAACAAACGTTTGTTCAGAGTTATCTGGTTTTTAATAATGTTCTCAAAACGTTAGTGCAAACACGTTATTTATACATTATTCATGGAATGTTTAAGTTGGATGGTCACAAACGACCTTGTAACCAATCAGATCAACGTGTGATCGTCAACCAGTGGATCTCTGAGCTGAGGGAGTGAGTGGAGGCGGGGCTCATTTGCATATTCATAGAACCACACATATTAAATGAGGCAAGGGTGTCGAGTTACATTCAAGATATTTTAAGGCATGAATACTTTTTTTCAAGGAAAATGTCATTTTGGTGATCAAAGATGAGTTCTGAGGGATAAAATGATTGACTACAGGGGGACTTTAATGTTCACAAAATACAAAACACATGTTTTCTACATACAAATATTGCATTCTGGTCTACACGAGTGTTTTCTTGCATGGAGACGCTAGTACGCACCTTCCTGTAGATGGCTCCGATGATCGCAGAGCGAAGCCTCATGCCCGTGACAAAGCAGTACTGAAAGTGCTGATGCAAGATGAGGGTCTGTAAGAGGGAAGTGCCGAACATCAGGAACGCCAGCGCGTAACCCCACCACAGCGGCGCGTGCTTGTTTTTGGTGAAGTCAATCAACATCCTGACAATGAAAGGAGAATCGGGTTAAAACCACACCTCTGTGGATTGGATTGCTCATTTCATACAATGTGGTTTCCATGAATCATATTTACACAAACAGTCAAAAGTTTGGAATAATTAAGTCTCTTCTGCTCAACAAGGCTGCAAAATACAGTAGAAATTGTGAAATATTATTAGAACGTAAAACAGCTGTTTTTTATGTGAATATATAGTAAAGTGTAATTTATTCCTGTGATCAAAGCTGAATTTATTTGATCAAAAATACAGTAAAAAATTGTGAAATATTTTTAGAATTTAAATCAGCTGTTTTCTATGTGAATATACAATAAAGTGTAATTTATTCCTGTGATCAAAGCTGAGTTTTCAGCATCATTACTCCAGTCTTCAGTGTCACATGATCCTTCAGAAATCACTCTAATATGACGATTTGACGCTCAAGAAACATTTATGATTAATATCAATGTTGTGTTGCTTTATATTACTTTTTTTTGGCTGTATTTTTGATCAAATAAACTTATTCCAAACCTATTAAAAATGGCAAAAAGGGCAGTAGAGAAACATATTTGCATCGCGTTTGCATTGTAAAACATGTGCAGAGAAAGCATACGTGGCGAAAGCAAAACAGCATGCAAACGATTTTACAGGCTTCTATGGAAAAAAGATTAATTTTACACCTCCTTCCAGCTAATCAGCGTGTTTCGTGTTTGCTCTGCCTGTTATAAATAAACAAAACAAATCCATGCGTGTAATAAAAGCCATATCTAGGTAAATGTTAAAGGAACAGAACAGCTATTGTGTCTGTCGTTATCAGACCGTCTCCAATTACACCTGTTGCTTTAAACAATGTCATACAGGTTTGGAACGACATGAAGAGAGTAAATGTTCAACATCTTTATTATGGAACACTATATTACATTAAAGACAGGGCTGACAACTCTCACACATTCCCACGCAACTGACACTTTCCTCACGCTCTCACACATTCACTTTCTCACGCGAAGCAAAGACACTGACACCGACAGATATGAAACAAATTCTCAGATTCTGTCAATTTCAGTACGAAATTCAAACAATAAATACCGTTTTGGCTCTAACGATCGCCTCAGTTCAAGCGGCACGTAAACCGAACATCTCTAATACTCTTTACTAGTTAATAGTAAATAAACACGAATGAACAATAGGGGTGTTGAATATGGAAGCTTGTTTCCGCCACTGATTAAAATAAGTAAATAAATAATTGCGACTTTTTATCTCACAATTGCGAGATATAAAGTCAGAATTGTGAGAAATAAAGTCGCAATTGCAAGAAATAAAGTCGCAATTGCAAGAAATAAAGTCGCAATTCTGAGAAATAAAGTCGCGACACGCAATTGCGACTTTATATCAATCAATTCTGACTTTATATCACGCAATTCTGACTTAATATCTCACAATTGCGACTTTATATCACGCAATTCTGACTTTATATCACGCAATTGCGACTTTATATCACGCAATTCTGACTTTATCACGCAATTGTGACTTTATATCACGCAATTCTGACTTTATATCTCACAATTCTGACTTTATAACACGCAATTGCGACTTTATATCACGCAATTCTGACTTTATATCACGCAATTCTGACTTTATATCTTGCAGTTGTGACTTTATAACACGCAATTGCGACTTTACATCACGCAATTCTGACTTTATATCTCGCAATTCTGACTTTATAACACGCAATTCTAACTTTATATCACGCAATTCTGACTTTATATCACGCAATACTAACTTTAAATCACGCAATTGCGACTTTATATCACGCAATTCTGACTTTATAACACGCAATTCTAACTTTATATCACGCAATTGCGACTTTATATCACGCAATTGCGACTTTATATCACGCAATTCTGACTTTATATCACGCAATTCTGACTTTATATCACGCAATTCTGACTTTATATCACGCAATTGCGACTTTATATCACGCAATTCTGACTTTATAACACGCAATTGCGACTTTATATCACGCAATTCTGACTTTATATCACGCAATTCTGACTTTATATCTCGCAATTGTGACTTTATAACACGTAATTGCGACTTTATATCACGCAATTCTGACTTTATATCACGCAATTGCGACTTTATATCACGCAATTCTGACCTTATATCACGCAATTGCGACTTTATATCTCACAATTCTGACTTTATAACACGCAATTGCGACTTTATATCACGCAATTCTGACTTTATATCTCGCAATTGTGACTTTATAACACGTAATTGCGACTTTATATCACGCAATTCTGACTTTATATCACGCAATTGCGACTTTATATCACGCAATTCTGACCTTATATCACGCAATTGCGACTTTATATCTCACAATTCTGACTTTATAACACGCAATTGCGACTTTATATCACGCAATTCTGACTTTATATCACGCAATTCTGACTTTATATCACGCAATTGCGACTTTATATCACACAATTCTGACTTTATATCACGCAATTGCGACTTTATATCATGCAATTCTGACTTTATAACACGCAATTGCGACTTTATATCACGCAATTGCGACTTTATATCACGCAATTCTGACTTTATAACACGCAATTGCGACTTTATATCACGCAATTCTGACTTTATAACACGCAATTGCGACTTTATATCACGCAATTCTAACTTTATATCACGCAATTGCGACTTTATATCACGCAATTCTGACTTTATATCATGCAATTCTGACTTTATATCTCGCAATTGTGACTTTATAACACGCAATTGCGACTTTATATCACGCAATTCTGACTTTATAACACGCAATTGCGACTTTATATCACGCAATTCTAACTTTATATCACGCAATTCTGACTTAATATCTCGCAATTGTGAGAAAAAAAGGCAGAATTTTGAGATAAAAAGTCGCAATTACCTTTTTTATTTTTCATTCTGTGGCGGAAACAAGCTTCCATAGTTGAAAGATACAGTACAACTTACCGAAATGAATATGCCTCATACATAATATCGATCAATCAGTGTTTTTCAACCGTGGAAATAATTCGATAAAACAGCTGGAGAACAATATCACAACATCGTTACATTTACCTCAGGAAAGCTGCGTTAGTTGGCTAGAAAAATTAGCTATAGAGAGGAGTATTTTGGTAAATATGTGTACTATATTAAATTTTTATTATATTTTTTACTTATATTATTAAAATTATAATTATATTATAATAAAAACGCATTATATTTAATTTGAGTTTTAACCTTTAATAATAATACCAGCTGACAGGGCTCTCTGTGTGTTTACATAATCCCATTAGGTGATATTTTTTTTCTTGAGAAAAATTAACATGTATCCACTGTAGCTAATATTTATCCCAATGAATCGATATTAAATCAACATCAACATCGGAATCAAATTCGGAATCAAATCGGAAAGAATTGAACTGCAATCGTGAAATTTGTTTCGAGCAATAGTAAAAATGGTAGCCTAGCAGTTACTGTACCATTTAAACATTGTAACATGTTGTCACTAAACTTTAAACTTTAAAATAAATTCCATAATTCTCACTCCAAGCTAAACTCAAAATTTGGCAGCCCTGATTAAAGAAAACTCATTACAACCCTGTGAACATGAGCCGTAAATCTGAGAACTAGTAGACAAGAGTGATTAAAGATCATTTTACATCATACACACACACACTCACTCTCTCACACACACACACACACACTCACACATACACACACACACACACTCACTCTCTCACACACACACACACACACACACTCACACATACACACACACACTCTCACACACACACACACAGACACACACACGCACGCATGCACACTCACACACTCACTCACACATACACAAACACACACGCGCACACACACACACACACACACACACCTGAGCAGCTGCGGGTTGACGAAGGTGATGAGGTCCTGCAGGAGTTTGTAAGCGGAGCCGATGAGGAAGTAGGGCCCGAAGGCGCGGAGCAGCGCCCGCAGGAACGAGGGCTGCCGGGACTCCTTCCGCGGGGTCAGCAGAACCTGCGCCTCCTCGGGACCCACGTGGTTTGTTTCAGCGCCGCCGTCCGCTTTCGTGAACGCGGCCTGGTCCTTCACGCTCTGCTCACTGCACACAACAATCAACTCTGAGCTAAAAATGTGCTTTTGATCATCAGTACTAAATTTTTCTAAATTTCATAATCATTTGTTAACAAACAAGTATTCATTACTTCAATGAGCTCATTGTTTCATCACTCATTACATTATTACATTGTTTAAATTAATACTTTTTTCGCTAACTGTGATTTTGTATATGTACATTTCTGAAATACATAACTTAGACAGTTTCCTCTGATAACAGAACGCTGTAAATTGTAATGTGGACTCATGCATTTTCTGTAAAGCTGCTTTGAAATGATGTGTATTGTGAAAAGCGCTATACAAATAAATGTGCAAAAATCACACAATTTAAATACCAAATGCATAGCAACACCCTTGAAACCACCCATAACACCCTAGTAACTGCATAGAAACATCTTAGCAGCAACTACCCACAATACCATATCAATCACCTTGCAACCACACAGAACACCCTAGCAACTGCATTGTGACACCCTTGCAACCACCCAAAATAGCCTAGGAACCGCATAGCAACACCCTAGAATCCACCTAGCAACCACCCAGAACACCCAAGCAACTGCATAGCGACACCCTCGCAACCACCCAGAATAGCCTAGGAACCGCATAGCAACACCCTAGAAAGCCACCTAGCAACCACCCAGAACACCCTAGCCACTGCATAGTGACACCCTCGCAACCACCCAGAATAGCCTAGAAACCACATAGCAACACCCTAAAAACCATCTAGCAACCACCCAGAACACCCAAGCAACTGCATAGCGACACCCTCACAACCACCCAGAATAGCCTAGGAACCGCATAGCAACACCCTAGAAGCCACCTAGCAACCACCCAGAACACCCTAGCCACTGCATAGTGACACCCTCGCAACCACCCAGAATAGCCTAGGAACCGCATAGCAACACCCTAGAAGCCACCTAGCAACCACCCAGAACACCCTAGCAACTGCATAGCAATACCCAAGCGGCAACCACCCACAATAGATAGATAGATAGATAGATAGATAGATAGATAGATAGATAGATAGATAGACAGATAGACAGATAGATAGATAGATAGACAGATAGATAGATAGATAGATAGATAGATAGATAGATAGATAGATAGATAGATAGATAGATAGATAGATAGATAGATACCCAAAATAGCATGACAACTGTGTAGCAAAATCAAAACAGCAACAATACAAAACACCCGAGCAATACCATAGAAACATGTAGCAACCACACAGAACACCCTAGCAAGCAGCAGCGTAGCAACACCCTGGCAAAGACCAAGAACACCCTGACAACCACCCACAACACCATAGCAACAGAAAACCACTTAGAATTCCCTGAAAACGGCAATGTAACACCCTAGCAACCCGCTCAGAATAGTCTATGAACCACATAGCAACACCCTAGTGGCAACCACCCACAATACCATAGCAACTGACCAGAACACCCCAGCAACCACCCAGCAACTGCATAGCAACACCCTATTAACCACCCAGAAGAACTCTTGCAATGTGATACTCAGGCATGTGATTGGCTAAGGACAAAAAAGCAGGAAAATATACCGAGCCCCCCCCCCCCCCCCGGCTGTATATCGATATATATATTCCGATATTTTGCCCGCAAAGTGAGAGCAAATGTTCAGTCAAAGTCAAAGCCAAATATAGTCTTCACTGTATAAATTATACATTGATTCTTATTAAAGCTACTATTACAGTTCTCAGTCAAGAGCAGTGAGTGATTTCCTCTGTGTTTTGTTGTTTTATTAACATTAAATAGATAGTTCTCCCAAAAAATTTAATTGTCATCATTTACTCTCTCAAGTTGTTTTAAACCTGAATAAGTTTCTTTCTTCTGTTGAAGTTATTTGGAAGAATGAGGGTAACCAAACAGTTGATGTACCCCAGTGATTTCCATAGTATATTTTTCCCTATGTAAGTCAATGGGGACCAGCAACTGTCTGGTTACACTCATTCTTCAAAATATCTTCTTTTGTGTTCAGCACAATAAAATAAATGAATACAGGTTTGGAACAACATTACAGTGAATAAATAATGACAGAATTTTTATTTTTGGGTCAACTATCCCTTTAAGGACAAGCGGCAGCATGTTTATTATTAGGGCTACTGTCTCTTTAAGACCTGTACGCGACGCGTCTAATATACACGCGCATTTGACAAGCAGATTTCTCTCAATTTTCTCGGTTTGCTTTCAGTTTAGACATAACCAACTTTCCTTATGTAAACCTTGTGTGTATTTGAGAGTATTAGCGAAATAAGACTCGAAAGATAACTTAGTCCAGTAACCAGGCGCTGTTAGACAGGCTTTTAGTGCATGTGCGCGTCGGGTGTTCGCGCTCAGTAAAGCGCATGTTAGAACAGCGCATCAGCAGTGAATGACATGTTTAACCGGCAAGGCTTTAAAGCACATGCAAATAATGAACTTTTGTGAACTCACTGAACTGATGTGGCCGTTCCTCTGCGTTTAAGCAGCACTCAGTAAGAATTCCGTTTTTGTCAAACAGCGCCCCCTAGAGTCGCTGTGAAGTACTTGTACTGTCGTGAATAGCACTCACGCAGAGATGGCTCGCACTCACATAGGGCTGGGTATCGTAACAAAATGTTCGGTACCGATACCGATACCGATACCTTGACTTCGATACCGGTTCCTGAACGATACTTTTTTCGATACCAATTTTATGTAACCAGGTTTAACAATATAACATTACCTAATTTTTTTTTCAGTTTGTTGACTTTTTTACACTCATATTTTGAGTATGTAAAAAAGCACCAATGCTAAAGTTTTCTATGTTTCCTAATCATTTAACAACATGTATTCTTTACTTCAATGAGCTCATTGTTTCTGCTTTAACTTAATGCATTAATTAACGATGAAACTGAATGAAAATTAATTGAAATGCATTACACTGTCACCTCTGATAACAGATCACTCTAAATTGTAATTTAGACATGCATTTTCTGTAAAGCTGCTTTGAAACGATATGTATTGTGAAAAATGCTATACAAATAAATGTGAATTAAATTAAATATAGGCTACTGGGGGGCGGGATATATACCTGCACGTGAAGCTTGCAGCAAAGCCCTGGCAAAAGTAGCCTAATGATTATGGATGTGGAAACAATAGCAAGGAGATATTTTAATTGTTTATTAATGAACAAGTGTTTACTAATGGTGTGTTCACACCGAACGCGAATTTAATTATTTGTGCGAGTAGATTACATACATAGTCAATGCAAAGACGCGAATAGACGCATCATTCGCGCCGGGCGTCGCGAATGACGCGAATTGGGCGACGCGTTTGCCGCGAACGTCTTCCGCGCAAGTTGAAAAAATTTAACTCTTCGAACTAGACGCGATAGACGCGTATTTGACGCTCTATTCGCGTTGGATGTGAACACCATTACTCTCAAGTGTATTTTGTGCGCTTCAGTGCCTAGATTTACCGTGTTGCCGGTCTTGGCAGCAATGATCTTGTCGAAAATATTGCATCGCGTGCATCTGGCATCGAGTCTGGCACATGACATGGGTACACTTTGGATCATTTCCACATATTTTCTATCTATCTGGGTTGGGACGCACGCTTACACACACACACACACACAC